CTGTTTCCTCTGCCCTTTGCTCTTTCTTGGCCAGCCAATGAGAGTCACATGTCTTCTGCGACAGCCCACTTTTGGCATGACCTTCTCAATGGCCATTTCTTGTGTCTTGGCTAAAACCGTCACTGGGGTGGTGGCTTTCATGGCTACTAGGCCAGGATCCAACATGAGGAAATGGGTGGGGAAAAGACTACCCAACTCCATTGTACTCTGCTGTTTCCTCATTCAAGCAATTCTTTGTGTTGGGTGGATGACAATATTTCCCCCATTCCCAGATCTGGACAAATATTCGTTCACCAAACGTATCATAGCTGAATGCAATGAGGAACCCATTGTGATATTTTTCCTTGTCTTGGGGTACATGGGGCTTCTTTCCATCATCAGCTTCATGGTGGCCTTCCTAGCCAGGAACCTTCCAGAGAGTTTCAATGAAGCCAAGTTCATCACCTTCAGCATGTTGGTGTTTTGCAACATTTGGTTAGCTTTCCTTCCAGCCTACCTGAGCACCAAAGGGAAAGAGAAGCTAGCTGTGGAGATCTTCTCCATCTTGGCCTCCAGTGCTGGTTTACTCAGTTGCATCTTTGTCCCCAAATGTTATATTATTTTGTTCAAACCAGAGTTGAACAGCAAAGAACAGCTGACAAAGAGAAAGAATTAGGAAACTCATATATTTTTGAATGATAATAGCTTTGCTGTCTCTCATCCTTGAGATCCTGATATATTTAAATTGCATTGTGTGTTTATATTAAAGGTGTAAGAACATTTACACTTCTCTGATTAACTGATCATAAATTCCTTCTGTTAGACTTTGAAGAAACACAAGTTGTTGCTATGTTTGGATTGTGAGCCTGTCCGATCTGTGCTTCACCAAATGGAAATTAATTGTTGTTCGATTACAACTGATATGGTGTTGAATAGAGCATTGCTAAGACCATTAGAATAATGTACTTTTTCTCATTTTCTTTTACTGTATTTTCCTGTTGAAATGTGTTCTTTCCTTTTTTCCTTTATTTATTTATGTTTGGTAAACATGCTATCTATAATGATTTATTCATTCAATCAATCATGCATGCATGTTCACATATATGTGGCTCCTGGGATTCAAATGTATTCGGCACCTGATTTTGGAAGATTGCTTTGCTTATAAATGTAGTCAATTGATTACAACAATAAAGGTTGGACACACCTTTATTGAAGGAGTTGACACACAGGATATTGAATGTACTTGCTATTTTTCCCTCCTCTTATAATATATACAAAAATACCTGGCTGCATTGTGTTACAGGTAGTACACGATTTACCACCACTCATTTAGCAAGTGCTTGAAGGTACAACATTTTAGATTTCTTCAAATGATTTGTTGGTTTCATTCTCACTAAATTTTAGAATTATATGCAATTTGGTGGAAGGTACCTGGAGTTATCCTAAGCCAAGATTTTCAACTGAATTTAATTTATTTTAATCTAACCTAAACCTAAGCCTAAAACTTCTAATTTGCTTGGATTCATTAGTCAGAACTTTGATTAATGACAGAAGATAGGTAAACAAATTAGATCTTCTTCAGAGTTCCTAACCAAAGGACAAGGCTGAACATTTCAACAAAACACTCACAATGTGCCATGGAAACAATCAATTTGGAGCAAACCATCAAAGAAACTCTGACATTTCAGGTTGTTCAGATTTCTGGGACTGTAGGCAGGCTGTCCTGTAACAGCTGACTAGACCTTGTCAAGTACAGTGGAGAAGGTTCCATTCCTCTCCTTAATACTGCTCACCAAAGCCTTCGTGAATGAATGTTCTTCCATGCTGGGCGACTGTCACAGACTATCAGGCATCTCAAACAGTGGTGGTATTCAGTCAGTTCAGACTGGTTCACCCAAACTGGTAGTGGCAACTTGCTGGTGGGCCCACTCACCTGCCCCAGCACAATGCCATCCTAGATAGCCACATTTTCCAAACCGCATGTGTAGGAAGTTAAAACCTACCCCTCTACTAGAAAATGAAATATTTTAGGAAATATTAAAATGACAGAATATTTCCCCCTAAAAGGGAGGCAGGAACTCATTCCCCAACCTTTGTCAATAGGCCATTAACGTCTGAGCCAGTCTATTCTACATAACAAGGATCTACCTATTTCAGGAGGATCCATCCAGCAAACAGAAGCTCACCACATGGCACCTGGGAAGATTACATCAACCAGCGGCTCAAACAAGCTTCGGTCTCAGGAAAGCCTACAAAATTAGCTAAGACCCCTGATTTCTGGGAGTCTGACAGCCAATGGGATATATTTCTTACACAGGAAACAGCGAGGTGGGGCCCTCAGAAGGTATAGAATTTAGGGTACTCTCAGCATCTCAACCCTTTTCTGCTCAGGAGCTCAAGCCATTTGATCCTGTTCAGGAACTCAAGCCATGTGATCTTCTCCACCATTCAACTATCTTTCCAAGCAGCCTCCATGTTTCCAGTGTTTTTCCCTGCACTTGGAACTGAATCCAGATGGACATTTCTTCCAATAGCTCAGGCGTGCAAGCTGCACGCGCGAGCTCACAATTTCAGTGTGTGGCGAACCGGTGGTAAAACTATGTGAAACCCACTTCTGATCTCAAAGCAACCAACTTGTGATGGTCTTTTGCAGAGGTGGGTTGCTGTTGGTTCAGCCCAGATTGGGTGAACCTGTAGTAGCAGTGGTGAGAGGCTTCACCCACTCACCTGGACACTTCTGCACATGCCCAGAAGCATCAGGCACACCAGTGGTGGGTTTCAAAATTTTTTTGCATCTACTCTGTGGGTGTGGCCTGCTTTGTGGGAGTGGCTTGCTGGCCATGTGACTGGGTGGGAGTGGCTTGCCGGCAATGTGACCAGGTGGGAGTGGCTTGCTGGCCATATGACTGGGTGGGAGTGGCTTGCCGGCAATGTGACCAGGTGGGAGTGGCTTGCTGGCCATATGACTGGGTGGGAGTGGCTTGCCGGCAATGTGACCAGGTGGGAGTGGCTTGCT